AACTAAAAGAAAAAGCTTGTAGAGATGAATTTTAACACACAAAGTGAAAAATCTACTAAACAGAATTCTGCATACAACTTTTAATGAAAACTCAGTGAAGGAACACAAGCTAGCATCAAGATTTTTGTTTTTTTCTTTGTTGTACAGCATCAGATTTACATGCAGCATCATTAAAGGGTGAACTATCTAAACAATAACATACCTCAGATATAAACAACATTTGAAATAAGTCCATTTTCACTAAGGCAACGAGTCAAAATTCCCTACCAAAAACTAGTTTGAATACAAAAATAAGAATTTTAACGAACAAGCAACAAACACAAACGTACATATTGTCTGATCAAAACATGTAATTCTATGTAATAGAAATTCCAAGTTCATGTGTTACAAGAAACAATGAAGTAACATGTTCAAAGTCACAGATGACAGAAAATTGCAGACTTTCAAGATTTGTCCCAGAAGAATCCTCTTACATTCTGTTTCTGAAAGTGTGTTTTATCAGCTTCATAGGGTGCCAAAAATGGAATAAAGCTTGTTATAAACACATGTATTCTCTTCAAAGGTGAAAGAACAAGTTCACCATATAGTTACCAAAAAGCCCTAAGCAGTAGCCTCAGACTTTGCTGGATAGACTATTTAGTGTTAATATTTGAATTATATTCCAGTACTGAATAAGTCTAGTATAGTAGTACTTTGGGCTCACTCAGATGACCAGAAATTTTGTATGATGCACCATCAGGATTAAATCTTTTATTTAAAAGTCAGTCATATGGTACATAGTAAAAAATTTTTAACAACTTCTTTTTCTCCAAACCTCATTTTATGATCAAGTTTTCAGTTGTTGGGGAAAAAAACCCGCAACGTAAAGAATATGGAAATACTTTTTAAACAAGGAAGATGTCCGAAGAAACTAAGAATACATATTTTTTTTGTCTTAATTATTTTAAATAGTAGATTTGAATGACTAGTTTCTGTTAGAGAAAAGCCTTCCTAGACTAGCTATCATTCAGAAAAGGACTGAACAGTATCCTAGTCAAAATTTTTAAAAATTCTAATGCCAGGCCTAGGCTACATTTTATTCTCATTTTTCTGGCACCATTTACTCATCAGAGCAGTTCTCAGGCTATAGTATATTATAGGATGTAGGAGTTCCCAAGTAATATCACTTCATAATTCAGTATTAACCATTGTAGATAGTTTTTAAAAAAGCAAGATGTTTAATTACAAGAGATTATCTTGACTGAAAGTCTTGTAACTGCTTAACATCCTTATCTCTCAGGTAGCTGACTAGAGTTACACGGCCTGTGAACATCACTAGGACATTCCAGATGAGGATAAATTGAAGCAACTGGGCTTTTGCTCCATTGTGCTCATGGGATATGAATGGTGTTTTTGACATATAGTGGGGATTGTTCATTTCAATACTAACAGTTATTTACTGAAATAATAATAAAAAATTTGAGTTCTGGTAACAAAACTCCAGTGACATAAGTAATGCTGGTTTTTCACTTTTTGGTATAAGTGGTGAGAAAATAACCATAAATACCAGTGTGGTCTACACTTAGGATGCTGAAGTAACAGCTTACAACTACTTACAGTAAGACACAAAAAGCGCAGAGAGAAACACTTGCAGAAGAGGACATATCAGGCCAGTGAGCACATGTTCTACCAAAACCAATTTGAACATTTTTAAGGTGTGCAGATTAAAAATGACAAGTAGTAAGATGTAGACCAACACATGACCTTTACACCTGTGATTATTTCTGACCTTGTTAATGCCTGTCAGACCCTTCCAGTTCCTACGAAGATAAAAAAACCCCTTACCTGTACCACTGTTCTGACATCAACCCCCTTCAAAACTTCAGTCCTGTTCTCTGCCACGGACACACCTCCATTTGGCTGAGCATGCCAACCTTCTTGGCACCAACTCACTTCCCACCTCACCAGCCACCCCGACCCAGCCGTGTCACGGCACCTCATCCTGCCCATCGAGGTCCAACGCTTACATCATGGCTGCTGTGCAGCCCCACACATGCCCTCCCTGTGCTCCAGCCTACACTGAGGACCACTCCTTCTGGTTCCTCACAGGGTAAGTATGCACTGTCAGTGCCAGAGCAGAATATGGCTTTCCAATTTACAGAAGAAGTGAACTTGTTATGGTAGTGTTATTTCAGTGAAGCATAGCTAGCCTCAGTGGCCCCTACCTGAAGGAAGTCCACAATGTCTTTTCTTTTGAAAAGCACCTAGCAACTGATCAACAGCTCCTAGAGTAAAGGCAAAAACGTAGAAAAGCATTGCCACTCACAAAACAAAACCCAGCTAGCACTATCTTCCTCACCCAGAAACACTGGCTAAACTTCACCTTTGCTGAAATGCAGACTGCAGGAGGAAGAGGTTCAGTGATCGGCGGAAGTTACCAGGGTGCATAAGGAGAGGGCTCAGTTCATCACTTCTCTCCATCACACATGGGGTATGACCAACACAGAGCATCATCAGAACGGCAGGGAACAAGGAGGAGGCACAGTGTGTACTCCTGACATATGAAAACCTCTAGGAGTCTCCAGTGATCATAGAATCAACCACAGAATCATAGAATTATAGAATCATAGAATGTGTTGGGCTGGAGAGGATCTTTAAAGGTTCAACTCCCCCTGCAGCGAGCCAGAACATCTTTAACTGGATCAGGTTGCTCAGAGCTCCATCAGGTCTTACCTTCAATGCCTGACCTTGAATGTCTCCAGCAATGGAGCCTCCACCACCTCTCTGAGCAACCTGTGCCAGTGTCTCACCACCCTCACAGTAAAGAACTTCTTCCTGATACCCAATCTAAATCTACCCTGCTCTAGTTTAAAATCATTGCCCCTCGTTCTGTCACTACAGGCCCTTGTAAACAGATCCTCCCCAGCTTTCCTGTAGCCCCCTTCAGGTACTGGAAGGCTGCTATAAGGTCTACCCGGAGCCTTCTCTTCTCCAGGCTGAACGACTCCAACTTTCTCAGCCTGTCCTTGAAGGAGAGGTGCTCCATCCCTTTGATCAATTTTGTGATCATGGTGTTAAGGGTTTTTTTTTTGTTTTCCTCTTTTTTCTTTCAATTCAGGGCAAGCAGAGAACTTTTTCAGCCAGTACAAGCAACTAGGTACGTCTACTCTAGTTCCAAATTTAGTATCATGAAACGCCTCTACAAAACCATGCCTATTTAATCAAGACTAACACAATCCTGGAGGCTTCACTTTCCATCTCGTTCATGAGTTTCATGCATCTTTATTCATAATAAATAAATAATCTTTATTTTTTTAATAATAAAAACCTTAGCTAGTCCAAAATTCAGTTTTATTTCAAAACATTAGTTTTAAAAAAAAATCATTTTCTTCAGGAATAGCTTGCTATCAAATTTGAAGCTACCATTAACTAGACAAAACTCTGGTCTTTTGAGAATCATCAAGAGCAATGATCTTCAAAATGCAGTTATTGTTGGAGGACTAATTCTAGCTAGCAGTATTTAATGGGACAACAAACTAAAACGAGACATTCAGGCTGCATAGTAGATTAAAAAATGCAAAGCACATAAAAGTTTCATGATCTCTAATCTACACCATCAAAAATTACAATTGTGTAGTCTCAAAACATCTCTTCAGTCATGCTCAATGCAGAGCAAAGCATAGTTACTATATTGTCATACCAGAAAACTTATTTACATAAGCAGAAAAACAGAGGAGATCTGGCAGCTACCATTTTTAAAAAAAACCCAAACAACACTACTCATACGTGGACTTCATCATTAAGTCCTTTTCACAAAAATATCGATAGAGAATTCCAACAAAAAACCAGTTTAAATGAACTCATTACAGAACACTGATAGATGTGCAACATTTGCAGTACTCCTTCAACATGCACATAGCACTCTTACAAAGTACCATTTCTTCTAAAACACAATAGATGCACTGGTGACAGCTGAAGTATAAAAATAAACACAGTCACTCTGTTAAAAAATTAGTGAAAAAGTGTAAATTTTTTTTCTCATTTGAAAATGCATATTATTTTTTCCACATAGGTTTAATAGTAGTATTCTCTCACAAAAAACCAAGAAATCCTACACAATTCTAATTCCATCTCAGCTCATTCTGAATTGCATGACATATCTGATGTCGTAGTATCCCCCAAAATTTGATCAAGAGCTCTTGAACTCTTCTTAAGCTACGTTAGACAATGTTTAAAAAAATAAATGTAGTATATCTAGCTCTGTTCTAAGTTTATTTAATGTTTCAGTTACTCTCCATGGTCTCAATATATTATGAGTTTTACTGATAGTCATTACATTATTGAGACTCATTTACAGTCATTTCTAACAGGCAAGATATATCCATCTTAATTTATTATTTGTATCATTGAATAAAAAGTTCTAGCTTTCTTAACAACAAAATTCCTATGCAATAAATTATAATTCAGTCTGAAGTAGAACTACGCTTCACTCACATTTCGAAAAATAGTCAAGAAATGTTCTCAGCTGTCAGAGAACTGTTCAGTTAAAGGCTCCTTTGAACTTCATAATCCAGAAGTGTTCTAAGAGTCCCTTTTCTTCCAACAACTTGTCAATGAAAGGCTGACATCCAGTCCTATCAGTCATTTGAAGAACGTTCGCAAAAATAATTTAATTTAAATATTCTATGAAGCAGTTAATTTTACTAAGATCTCAGACACTGAAATAATGCTTCCTGTTAAAGGGACACCTACACTGACCAGTGTTGAAGGGCTTGTGTTAAACTGATTGGACTATAAAGTAATGTTTCCCCCAAATCTTACTCCGAGATTTTCTCAGATGTGGTTTTTTTTTTTCTTAAAACAAAGATCATACTGCAATTCTGAAAGCCATTACAGTCTTTTGGGGGAGGACAGGGCTGGCTTTGGGTTGAGGATTTTTTTAACACAATAGGGGAAAAGGTCCCTTTAACAAGGAAGGAGACAGGTATCACTTAATCAGGATTTGGGAATGGAATCTGTACCTATGGGTAAATGGCAATGCGTTCTGGGTTGGTTCAGCCCTTGGTTCTGAGTTCTGCGTCACTTCCGGCGTCGCTCTCTCATCATCTGTTCCATTAATACTTTCTGGCGTTAAAGGAGACTGAATATCCCCTCCAGCTGACTCCTTAAGCAAAACAAACAACACATTAAAATTACAAACTGACTCGCTCATGAAGGATATGTACATATAAACACTAACTTTTAAATAATACACAAACTTTAGGTAGTATTAATGTAATGCTCAGGTGTCCAGCCTCCTTCATGGTCATTTTTCATTGTATACATTTAATTTAGATGTATATTACCATAAGACTCACATTACCTCATACAAACTGATCTATGAATTATTTGTAGGTGTCCAGCCTCCTGCTTACTGCAGACCTCTCTCTCTTATCTGGTATGACATTCAGCCCTCATCCCGCTACACAGTGGGTGACTATTGGCACTCAGTATTCTTGTCACTTGCTTTATGTTCTAACATGGTGAAACAAACAATTCTTATATTTGTTTCAAAAAACAGCTTTCGCATTTTTTTATTAACCAAAGTGAACAGTGGAAGGGCCATTGGTGGTGTGTTCACAGTCTCTCCTGCGAGCCATCTGTAAAGAACACATCTTCAGCACGGTCCTTCCAAACTTGCATAGGCAGATTACTCTCTCCTAGCTCTTGCTGGTTACGGTATTATCTGGGAAGGAGAATGCTCCAGTTACACCCAGGCAGTTTCTGTTACTGCTGTGTCATTGGACATCTGAGAAACTTAATGGTTGGCTCCCAGCAGAAGGCACTGGTGCAGTTTTAATCTCCCTTCATCGTGCCAATGTGTACATTTGTGTTTGGCCGACAAACACCATTTGCTAATTTCTAGTTACTGAAAAGTACTTCATACATACGAAGTACACTCTTGTAGCCCGTGTTAAGTTGGAATATTGCAGGCTTTTCAGGCCCTGTACATGGTTTAATTTCAGTATTTTCTTTCTTACTATATTATTTTTCAAGTAATGAATTTTGCTGGAGATAAGCTAAGTAGCTCATCTTGATATTAAAATGTCTTAGTAGGCTTTCAGTAATCAAGTGGTAACATTTAACCCATAAGACAGAGCTTCATAAATAGAGTTCAAAGGATGTCATGGAGGGGTTGGGATGACTGAATTGCAGTGTTTACAAAAGCTAAGCAGTTTCTATGGCCACACAGCTTTCTACCATCCCCATGGAGAACAGATAAAGCTGCTACTTAATGTTACTAAACTGAAGCACAACCAGTCACTGGAAGACCAGCAGCTCCTCTTCCAAGCTCTTCGACACTCTGCACCGGAAGGTGAAGAACAATCTCAGACGGAATTGCAAAGTATCTGCAGACAGTCACAATCTTACAAGATCAGGGTTTAATTCTGAGCCTCTAGTTATAGCCCTCAACTGGTTTATGAGCATAAGGCTTTCTGAAAGCCAATACTCAATCATAGAATGATTTGGTTTGGAAGGAACCTCTGAGATCATCTAGTTCCAACCCCCTTGCCATGGCAGGGAAAATGATAGAATAACAGAATTTCACCCTCCATCTATAGAAAACATTGTCCTTTACTTTGAGACTCACTTGGAAGTAAAAAGTCAGTTCTTTTAAAGAATGTAAGATCTGGCTGTCATCATAACCAAAAATATAGTTGTTCAACATTTTCACTGCACTTCAAATTACATTAAGGGCTTGCAGCACAGCAATTGTCAAAGTTTTGCTTTTATTCTGCCATATTTCTCACATAGTGAGATACATATATCTCTCACTCTACAACTTGAATTAGTGGGTGATATATTTTAATGCCGACTTCAAGTTTTATTACATTTAGCATTCATCAAGTTAAACAATGCACATGCACCAGTGTCTCCATTCTGCCCCTTATTAAATTCCTATTGATTAAAAAGCAGAGATAATTTAATTCCATAGATATAAACTGTTGTTTATAATATACATTTATTTTTTTAATTATTTGAATGTAAATTACTACCTACTTTCAGGAAGAATCTTGCTATTTTCTACTAAAAACTATTATCTTAAGTGGTAATACTTTATAAATTCAAATTAAATCTTGATTTTTACAGAACAATTTCACTGAACTGAATTGAGGACAGCAGAGTTGGCAAGATAATCAGGCAAATGAATTATTAATTATATGGTTTTGTCTATTATTATACTCAGACATGATATACAGTTTCCATTGACATTAAATGAAAGCTGTTATGGACCCAAGAGTTTCTCATTTTTCCACCTTTTTTCCAAACCACACTAGATACCCTAAAAAAACCGTACTGCAACCTACAAAATCTGGATGGCTTTATCTTTAAGCTAAAATTCCTACAATTCCTACTATTATTAGATACACAAAGTCAGAGTCTACTTCTTAAAATGTTTTAAGTGTGAAAGTATAAAAATTATTTCAATAGAAGAAAATCAAATGTGCAAGTTCCATCTAGGTTTTTATAAACTTCTGCCGTTTATGAAATTCAAGTGACAAAAATTAATGCAAACATCACAGTCTATACAATACTCAAAGATTCACTGCTTGCAAATTCATGTTCAATGCCTAAAAATTTATGCATACATGCAAGAAAAGCATTAGATTCTAGTATGTATTTCTTCTACTAACAATACAGGTCAACCAGTGCTCTAACACTCTCAGTACTATCCCTGCCTGATTAATAATTTATTTGCAGCCAACCATAATGAAGCTGGCTATGAATGAAGCAATAGAAAAAGCAACTTACACTGAATATTTTTTTATGAATGGTTACAAATAATATGTTTCAATCTATATTAATTAGAGTGTAATGGTATTTCAGAAACATTTTTGTGAGATGTTTATATGCAATGAAGTTTTTATTCCATACCATTGTAGCTTCACAAATCCACTCTACAGAGTTGGAGAAGAAACTGCTCAGCTTAGATTTTTGCCCTTCCCTTCTAACTGGGAGAGCAGGTTAACTTAGTTCTAACATTCAACTGTATAGACATAATATAAAAAACCACCAGTGCTTAAATTGAAACTGACAGGTCTTCCTGTAAATCAATAGCAAATTTTAAGGCTTGATAGTTCCCACTCATGACAGCTACAAATAGATATTTCATGCATTTCAGAAGAAAGGATTAACAGCTGTCCTGTGGTATGAAACCACTACCATATACAGTCTTCTGGAGGTTATAGAACTTCAAGTAACTCATCAGACTGAGGATTAGTATGGACTGAATATTAGGATTTTTCTACATGACAAGTAAGTGTAAGTGTGAGAGTGTGACTCAGGTATAACTTGCTATTCAGGCTGCACTGTCTAAAGGAGTTCTGGCTGTACTAATGCATACACAGGAGTCCAGTGACAGCAAGTAGTATAAAAATGACAGTGCCTACAGTATATAAACAAAACATAAGAGAGGGGAATTCATCAAAAGATGCCCTAAAGTTCAAAATCTTATGAACAAAACACATACACTCACAAAAGAGTCTTTAAAGTAAAACAAGGAGACTTCATAGCACAGATCAAGTCACCTTGTAACAGTGACTAAATACAGAACAGAAGGGGCAGTGAGCGATTCAGATTCATTAACAAACCAAACCAATTCCAGCTTGTTTTCTCATTAAATATTATACTGTTTTCTCATTAAGTGTTCCATACACT